TGATGGGATCAAGTATAGCAGGGACTGTGGGGCTGGCGCGGGATCGGGCAGTGTTTCGTTCTGCTGTGCATGGGGTCGCTATGAGTCGGAAATGACTCGACGGCACTTAACAACAACAACAACAACATATATTTCTAGTAGTATCTTCTATAATTTCTACTTTATAAAGATTGCTTCTTTTTATTTATTTATTTATTTGCTTTTAATGTCCTTTGGAATTTAGGGAGCTCTGGTAGTGTAGTGCCTAAGGCATTTGACTGATAACCAGAAGGCTGGCATGGCAGTTCAAACCCACCAGCCACTCCTTGGAAGGAAAGTTGGGCAATCTATTTCCATAGTTATACCACCTCAGAAACCCAAGGAGGGGTTGCTATGAGTCAGATCCCACTCAACAACAGTGCTTTTGGTTTTTGGTTTGGTTTTTGGAATTTAGGAAGATTTTTCTTCTATTGGTTGCCTTTGTACTTACACCTTTTTAATGCCCTTAATCCTGCTTTCTTCTTTTCATTGTCTGGCTGGCCAGTTTTTGATGCTATTCTTCGACTCCTCACTTTTTAGTTACCTTATTTCTACTTTTTCATGGAACATGTGTGTCTTATTGTTCTACCTTTATCCCTACCTTTGTTTTACTGTTATGTCTAATAAATATGTGAAACACTTACCATCAGTTCTTTTGCTGGAGTTGCCTTCCCTAGTCATTTCTTAATGAATGAAGTCCATCTTCTATGAGACTTCTGAAGGGCTGATGTTGTGTTCCCTGCATTCTTACATGTCTAAAACTGTTTCTATTGCCTCGTGCCCAATCTTCCTTCCAAGGAGTGGAAGATTGGGCAATCTACTTCTGTAGTGATACTGCCTCGGAAACCCAAGGAGGGGTCGCTATGAGTCGGATCCGACTCGATAGCGGTGAGCTTACTGATAGTTGAAAGAGAGCTTGGTTCATACTTTAAGATAGTTTTCACATCCTCAGATGCTTGACTAAGGATATTTCATTTAATATTTAATTTCGTTAAGAGTGTTGTATTGTAAACCCTTTCCTCATTGTGATTTACCAGACCCTCTCCCATACTTTATACTCCAGGTTGACATTCTTTCCAGAGGTGATTTTAAATCAGTCTTCTGCTCCGTCCTCACTTCCCTCTTCTCTCTTCCATGCAGTTTTCCTAGAGCTGTGGCTAAAGTGTGAGACCTAGCTCTTCCGGGATTTGGTATTAACTTTTTTACTTACAGGTGCTTTGAACATTGTAGCTAGCCTTCTCTGTCTTCTAGCTATACCAGGGTGTGGGTTTTATGTAGTTTGACTTATTCTTCTTCTCTGTAATTTTGTGAGTAATTTGCTGCACTAATGTAGGCCACATCTTTCTAAATGTTACTTGAGCCCAACTAGAGAAAAACTGTTGCTTTCTGCAAGACTGTGGTAATCATGGTAATGTCAATGGTGATGGTGATTTGCATATTGTGGAAAACACTCAAGGATTGATTTTTCTAGGGTATGGAACTTCCAGAACAAAAAACAACCAAAGAAACAGATCCAAGCATTTGACTTGAAGAATTTAATTGTGTTCATATTTGTTTTTATTCTTAAGAGGTCCAACGAATGTAGAATAACAATATCCTACTAAGCATATAACAGTAAAATACTTTCAAATCCCGGTGGTAGTGCACTCCATTGGTTTTTAAGGCTGTGGCCTTTCAGAAACAGATTGCCAGGCCTTACTTCCTATGTGCCTCTAGGTGGGTGTGAACCACCAATCTTCTGGTTGCATATTGAGCATCCTGTTTGTGCCACTCAGAAACTCCATCATTCACCCAGCAACCCTGTGGGTCATAAAGATTTTATCCCATAACAAATCCCACATTTGACAGATGAGGGACTAGACTCTGAGAGATTCTCACAGGATCTCTTCCTGATTACAGAGTTGGCCTAAGTACAGCTAGAAGTGAAACATGAGTCTTCCGATTGATCATCCAACACCATTTCCAGCATCAAATATGCTTAGTCATGAAGTTTTTACTCATTTGATGCCTTTTTCAATTTTATGCTGTTGAAACACTTTTGTAACCTAAGGCCACTTATTGATAACAAATTATTTGGGGGGAGTGGAGGACACTACTTTTCAATGTTATAGTTTGAATAGATTTGACCTGTAAAAACAATGTAAATTGCTTTTGCAGATAAGTGGGAAATATTTTCTCCACTAACCATCCACTTTCATCTGTCTTTTCACAGAGGACAGTTATGGGATGGATGGGAAGGATAATCCGTCCACTCTCACAGCAGACATCAACTGGCAAGGCCTGCAGGATTTATACAGTGTGAATGAAAGCATCTATGAGTACAGACAAAACTATAGACTTAGTCTGGCAGACTGGACTAATTACTTGAAGGATGTAGATAGAGTATTTGCACTGCTGAACAGTCACCATGAGCAAAATAAAGCAAATGAGACCACCACTGCTCAGACTGATGGGTTCCTGGTCATAACTCCTGCACCCCCTGTGCCAGTGGAGATGGCCTCTGCTGAGTTAGATGAAGACCCAAATTATGTGGTTGGAGAAGAGCCTCGTTTGACCTTGCAAGCCAACTTTAGAACCCAGCATTTGAACCAACCAACATTCAGTCCAGAGAGGAGACTTGAATGGAATAACGACATTCCAGAAGTTAGTCGTTTGAATTCTGAACACTGGAGAAATCATAAAACTGAAAAATGGATGGGGCATGAAGTGCTCAATAATTTTGACAGCGATTCCAGTGGCAACAGCATGACGGAGCTGGTGCTCAAGCACAGCCCTGTTCTGCAGCCCATGAGCAGGCATCAGCAAGTTCTTCACCAGGATGGTGCTCCAGGAGGAGAGGTGTTTGAAGATCAGCTTCCTGTGCAGCTGGCTGTGAACTCCAGCACAGTAGAAAGGATGTCGAACAAAGTGGAGGAGAATCACAAAAGGGAGAACTGACAGAGTCTAGAAGGCAGCACCTCCTCACTATTCTCCTCTGATTAGATGGAATAGTTACCTATACACAGTATTTTTTTAACTTTTTATTAGTAAACTAATAAAGGCAGTCATAGCTACCAACATTCCAAGCTATCCTAGACACGTTTGTGCAGTAGAAATTAGTGTATGTGTGAGCAGTGTGCACAGAGGGACTCATTGTTTTAATTCACTTTCAAGAGTAGAAAGGAAGAGGGGTTTTGTTCAGTTTCGTTTTGTTTTATTTGGTACTAAAACAGTATTATCTATTGAAAGTTTTGGGGGCATGCATATATAAATGTTACCCAATCAAGAAGGCTAAAATTGTGACTTTCCATATTTCTAAAACTTGACACCATCAACAAATCTTCCAACACACACACTTCCACTGCCTGTATGATGCAGTTTTGACTCATTTTTAACCACTGGAATTTTTCAGTGCCATCATTTTTGGTTCAATGATTTTGCACTTTGAGATCTGAATGCCATGTCTGTTTGGTTAGTCTTATTCTTTCTTTCCAGGCTTGTCATAGTCTCACTGTCTGCTCTTAGTGTGACACAGTAAAATAGACCCCCAAGGATGGCACACCGTATTGATCTCATTGTTTAACATACTCTTTTGCCAGAAAATATTGCATGTGTTTTACCTCGACTTGCTAAAACTGATTAGCAGAAAGGCATGGCTAATGATATTGGCAGTAAAAATAAATAAATGAATAAACAAAACTGAGATTGCCTGATTTCCCTATGTCTAACTTCCAGGTATTCTTACTATCTTTAAGATTGCTAATTTCTGTTTACTTTATTGACAGGATAAAAGGACTGAAGACCTTTTTGTTTCTCCCTTTTCATCTCTGTTTTGTTTTTGTGACCTGGGTATTAAGCATAAGTGTTGAGAAAGTATGCTTACTTGTGAATTTATACAAGAGAACTGTTTTTCAGTAAAATAAACTCATGAGTGTTTCATAATTTAAACACAGCATATTATGAGGCTAATTTCATAACATGGTGTTGTATCATTGTTTTAAGACCTTTACCAAGTTCTGATGCTTTTTTAAGGCACACTTCAGAATAGTTTCTGAAAATCTGTTTTCTTAAGAACATTCTTATTTTGTATTAGATTTTTAAATACCAGCAAAAAATTACCTTGTTGACAGAGTTATCGGTTCCCTATTCAATTTTCAAAAAAAAAATTCATACTTGTTTTTCTTGTCTTTTTGTCATTGTTCTTTTTAGCTTAACAGTGATTTCCTTTTAATTCAAATGCGTAGGTAAATTATGTTTTCTTTAAGTGTTTATGGTAAACTTTTTTTGAGAAAATTTGTTATAGTTGAATCTTCCATTACTTTAAGAAAGTCTTTATCATGGACTGTACATATGTTGAAATTAACTACCTGTTTATCAGATGTGTGTGTCATCGGCTGAATGACAGAATAAACATATTTATGGTCATGAATGATGTTCTTTATAAAAAGGCTTCAAGTTGTTAGGAAGCATACTGTGTTTCTTTAATCTTGTATAATATTCTCTGATACTTTTATAGAACAATTCTGACTTCAGGCAAGTCTAGAAGCAATATTTCTTGAAATAAAAGGTGTTTAAACTTGACCCGTTGCAGAGAAGTGACCTTAAACAAGTTCCTGTGGCATGCCCTTCTTGCAGGGAAATTGAGTTCTGATCTCAGTTTACATGACTGAATACTTAGCCACGATTATAAAATTGACAGGCAGTCAGTGTGTTACTGAACATTATCAGATTAGTGATTTCAACATGGATTTGCCTCGTTGCTGTCAATGGGAACCTGGGAGAGGCCACAGCAGGGCTGACCTCACGAGGTCATGCAGCCTGCAGCTTGGTTGAGTGTTGTGCTGTCTCCATATCGAGATTCCTAATAACTTTTGAACAAGGGACCTCACAGTTCCATTTTGCACTAAAAAAAAAAACCAAACTCACTGCCATCAAGTTGATGATGACTCATAGTGACCCCTGCCTCGGTTTCCAAGGTGGGATCTCTACAGAAATGGATTCCCCAGTCCTCCTTCTGAAGAGTGACTGGTGGGTTTGAACTGCTTCTGATTAGCAGTCAAATGCCGTAGGCACTATGCCACTGAAGTTCTTCCATTTTGCACTGGGCTCCACAAATTACGAAGCTGGTCCTGGGCAGCACAGATGGAATTTTCCCAAAACAAAGAGTCAAACAAGCACATGAAAAGACACTATAAAGGTCATTCGTCATCATTTTGTCAATGAGTTGGCTCTAACTCTTAGCAACCTTCCTCATGATCGTGGGATGTGTGAGTCCGTGGTTGCAGCCATTGTACAATGCCTTCCACCTTAGTGGACTCGTCTTTCAGCACATTTTTGGATAGTATGCTGTTATGATCCATAAGGTTTTCATTGGCTAATTTTCCGAAGTAAATTGCTAGGCCTTTCTCCTTAGTCTGTCTTAGTCTAGAAGTCTCAATGGTACTTGCCTACCGTGGGTGGCCCTGCTGGTATTTGAATACTAATGGCATAGCTTCCAGCATTATAGCAACATGCAAGCCACCACAATATGACAGACTGACAGACAGGTGGTGCCCTTAGTCATTAGGGAAGTGCAACTCAAAATCATGGTGAAATAACACCTTACATCCATAAGGATGGCTATAACCAGTAAAGCAGAAAAAACTGGGACCCTTGGCCATTGCTGGTGGAAATGCAAAATGGCGCAACCATTGAGGAAAATAGGCGAGTCCTCAAAAAGTTAAACAGAATAACCATAAGAGCCAGCAATTCCACTCATAGGTAATACCCAAAAAACTAAAAACAGGTAGTTGGTTATACACCCGTGTTCATTGTAGCATATAGCTAGAAATGTGAAAACAACCCAAGGGTCCATCAATAGATGAATGAAGAAATAGTATGCATGTATACAATGGAATAACACTGCTAGGAAGAGAAATAGGAGCTCTGGTAGAATAGTGCCTAAGGCACTTGACTGCTAACCAGAAGGCTGGGCGGTTCAAACCCACCAGCCACTCCTCAGAAGGAAGATGGTTCAATCTACTTCTGTAGTGATACCGCCTTGGAAACCCAAGGAGGGGTTGCTATGAGTCGGGTCCTACTCGAGGGCACATAACAACAACAGGAAGAGAAATGAAGTTCTGATACAAGCCACAACATGGATGAAACTTTATGCTAAAAAAAAAAAAAAAAAAAATGCAAAGTGAAATGAGCCAGATATAAAAACAAATATTGTATGATGCAAATTGCATGAGATATCTAGGACAGGCAAATGCATAGAGGCCAAAGTTTAATTAGCATAGTGCCTAAGGCACTTGAGTGCTAACCAGAAGACTGGCGGTTCAAACCCACCAGCCACTCTTCAGAAGGAAGGTTGGGCAGTCCTGCTTCCATAGTGATACTGCCTCAGCAACCCAAGGAGGGGTCGCTATGGGTCAGGGCCTACTCTACAGCAAATAACAACAACAACAGGGGTGGGAAAGACAATGGAATGGAAAATGTACTGCTGAAGGGGTACAGAGTTTTTGTTTGAGGTGATGAAAAGTTCTGGGGAAAAATAGTGATGATTGCACACACAAAAAAGTAAGAGCCAGACCTAAGAAGGCAGTTTGGTTCTTTGAGAATCAAAACTGGTAGAGAACTAACAGCTCCCAAAGACCTCACGTTTTCTAACTTACGAATTCCACCTCTCTTGAGGTACTAACAAAACTTTCTTCTCTTCAGTGACAGGGACAATCTGAGAAATGTCCAGATATCAGAAGAATTTAGTCCATGGATTGATTATTAAGGAGATTATGGCAGTAAGAGAGCAGAATCTAACATAACAGTGCTGCCCAAAGATGCATCTTTGTGCCTTGTTCCTGCTCCTTTCTTGTAAATGGCAATAGGCCAAATGTTACTCTCCTGGAGGAAATTCTATTTTAATTCAATATTTATTGAATTGAGTAAAGTACTTACCATGGGAAAGGGGCATGAGGGAGACATTTCAGATCCTGAAGGACCCTTAGACATTGGCTGGTCCAGTGGCCTAGTTTTATCTGTGAGGAAGCTGATGCCCAGAAAGGCTGAGCTGGTTTCCTAACATCTCATTCACCACAGACTTAGGAAAGGAAGAGATTGAGCAGAGGCAAGGACCACCTCCTATGTACTTTCTCCATTTAAACACACACATGTGCACGTACAAGGGGAAGAGACAGGCCACAGAGTGAACCCATCTAGTGAGGAGTAACAGAAAGAACAATGAACAGGAAGTTATAGAAGACCTAAGTTAATTTCTACTCCAATGTTTATTGTGTATGTAATCTTGGAAGTGTCACATAACCTCTCTAAAACAGCTTCCTCAACTGTAAAATTGAATCAAAGATGGAAAATACTTTGCATATGTGCTTTCTTTTCCCAAAATGTGCCTGGGCAGACATTGCTAACCCATCAGGACACTTTCTATGCAGCCAGAGCATGTATGGCCTTAGAATCCTCAACACAGCACTCCAGTCCACTATTACCAACACTGTTAAATGTCTTAGTATGTGAGATAAAAACCTAATTGCTATACCCATACTAGATTATGTCTGAGACCCCTTCTGGCTCTCTTTAAAAAAAAAAAAAAAAAGGTTGTAGTCACTTCTTGGGCATACCCAGCTACCCAGAGGGAGCAATAGTTCAACCTCTGGGCTCAGGACCATAGTCACAGGGGACATCAAGCTCAATTGGCATAACACACTACACAAAACATTGTTCCACCTCCTACTTTGGTGAGTAGAACCTGGGATCTGAAAAGCTTGTAAGCAGCCATCCAGATGCAACAATGGGTCTCTCCTCATCCAGAGCAAAGAAGAATGAAGAAAAACAAGGACTAATGGAAACAATTCATCCAGGCAACTGGTACACCATGCGATCCTCAGTCTGCATGACTATGAGACCAGAAAAACTAGATGGTGCCTGAGTACCACTGTCAACCACATGGAGAGGGATCTATGTAGGAGATCCTAGATAGAGAGGGAGAACATGTGGAACAAAACTCAAAA